CGGCAGCAGGAGGCCCCATTAGCTAAAGTGGTACTTCAGGTTAAGAACAGTTTCAGGTTAAGAACGGACCACCGGAACAAATTAAGTACTTACCCCCGAGGTACCACTGTACAATCTAATGGAGCTCTTCAGGATTTCCCAGGAAAACTTCCTGAGAGAGTACTTAGTAGATAGAGAATCAACGGCTTCCTACAAACATTACAAAGGTTACAGAGCAAAAGTACATAATCAACAATTTCTATTACTCCACTTCCACCTTGAAGTTTTTCTTAATCATCCACTTAGTATATTAACATGAGCCAAGATAAATGCTCCCTATTGTTGGTTACAAGCAAAATGTACAAGAATGAAGCTGTGATGATGCCATAATATTAATAATAAATATCGATAGATAGAGAATCAACTGCTCCCTACAATCACAATAAAGGTTACAGAGCAAAAGTACATGATCCACCTCCACTTTGGACTTTTGTTGAGTCGTCCATTTAGTATATTAACATGAACGATGATAAATCCTCCTCTCTACTTGTAGACTATCAGTGGGTACAAGTATAAAGCTGGGATGATGCCATAATAATAACAGTAAATATCTACAGAAACCAAGAGCAAGATTATATCTGTTTTACTATGTAATTTGGTACATTCGGGATATATATTCAGTGTGTGTGTGTGTGTGTGTGTGTGTGTGTGTGTGTTTATATACAAATATTTTGGGATATCATGATTTCCTGTTTCCACTTGGAAACGTTTGGCTTTTGCTTTTCCAGATTTCATATAATAATAATAATAATAATAATAAATTTTATTTATATCCCGCCCTCCCCAGCCGAAGCCGGGCTCAGGGCGGCTAACAACACTAAAATAGTGCAACATTATAAACATCATAAGAATTAATTAAAATCAAAATTGATGGCAACCATAAACTAAAGTATTGTAAAGATTGCCAAAGGAGGGAGTCAGGCTGTGCCCTAACCAAAGGCCTGGTGGAACAGCTCTGTCTTGCAGGCCCTGCGGAAAGATGTCAAGTCCTGCAGGGCCCTTGTCTCTTGTGACAGAGCGTTCCACCAGGTTGGAGCCGCAGCCGAAAAAGCCCTGGCTCTAGTTGAGGCCAGCCTAACCTCTCTGTGGCCTGGGACCTTCAAGATGTTTTTATTTGAGGACCGTAAGTTCCTCTGTGGGGCATACCAGGAGAGGCGGTCCCGTAGATACGAGGGTCCTAGGCCGTGTAGGGCTTTGAAGGTTAAAACCAGCACCTTAAACCTGATCCTGTACTCCACCGGGAGCCAGTGCAGCTGGTATAGCACCGGATGAATGTGATCCCGCAGCGAAGACCCCGTAAGGAGTCTCGCTGCGGCATTCTGCACCCGCTGGAGTTTCTGGGTCAGTCTCAAGGGCAGCCCCACGTAGAGCGAGTTACAATAATCCAGTCTGGAGGTGACCGTCGCGTGGATCACAGTGGCTAGGTCAGGGCGAGAGAGGTAAGGAGCCAACTGCTTAGCTTGGCGGAGATGAAAGAATGCCGCCTTTGTTATAGCTGCAATCTGCGCCTCCATGGAGAGGGAGGTATCGAAGATTACACCCAAACTCTTAACGGACGGTGCTGGCACTAATTGCACCCCCGCAAGAGATGGGAGTTGCCCCCTCAATCCCATATCGTCCCGTCCCAGCCAGAGGACCTCTGTCTTCGAAGGATTTAACTTCAACCGGCTCCCACGTAACCATCCAGCCACAGCTTCCAAGCATCTGATCAGTGTGTCTGGGGCCGAGTCAGGATGGCCATCCATCAACAGATAGAGTTGGGTGTCATCAGCATACTGATGGCAGCCCAGCCCAAAACTCCGGACAAGCTGGGCGAGGGGGCGCATAAAGATGTTAAAAAGCATCGGGGAGAGAATCGCACCCTGAGGCACTCCACACACCAAGGAGTGGCGGGATGACAGTTCCCCCCCAAGCGCCACCCTCTGTCCCCGACCAGAGAGAAACGAGCGCAGCCATTGAAGGACTGTGCCCTGGATCCCCACGTCGGCGAGGCGGTGGTCCAGAAGTTCGTGATCAACCATGTCGAAAGCTGCTGACAGATCTAAAAGAATCAGCAGCCCCGACCCGCCTCGATCCAGCTGTCTACGAAGATCATCTGTTAGGGCGACCAGAGCCGTCTCGGTCCCATGACCAGCGCGGAAGCCGGACTGGAATGGATCCAGAGCCGATGTTTCGTCCAGAAACCTACCAAGCTGTTCAGCAACCACTCTCTCAATCACCTTACCCAGGAATGGAAGATTCGAAACTGGGCGGTAATTGGATAGATCTAAGGGATCTAATGATGTTTTCTTTAAGAGCGGACGCACCACTGCCTCCTTCAGTTCCCCTGGGAATGTCCCGGTGCCAAGGGACAAATTGATGATATCCCCCAGGGGGGCCCGCACCTCGTCTGGACACGCTCTAATCAGCCAAGACGGGCACGGGTCGAGAGGACAAGTGGTGGGCTTTCCAGCTCGGAGGAGTCTGTCCACATCGGCTGGGGATATCCGGTCAAAGTGGTCCAATACTGGACCCGAGGACAGTCGAGGGGCCTCCAGTTCCTTTATTGTATCCAAATTGGCAGGGAGGTCATGGCGGAGCGACAGGACCTTCTCCGCAAAAAAGCTCGCAAATGCCTCACAGCTGTGTGTCGAATTGTTATTTAAATTTGGCTGTCCTTCGAGGGACGTTAAAGACCGAATTATACTAAATAATTGTGCCGGGCGAGAGCTAGCGGATGCAATGGAGGCCGAGAAGTAGGACTTCTTAGCGGCCTTCACTGCCATCTCGTAGGTTTTCATAAAAACCCTATAAGATGTTCTTGAGGCTCCGTCACGGGCACCCCGCCATACTCGCTCTAGCCGTCTGAGGTCCCGCTTCATTTTCCGGAGCTCCTCAGTAAACCAGGGAGCCCGGTTTCTGCGGGGTCGCAGAGGGCGCTTAGGTGCGATCTCATTGATGGCTGCCAGGAGCTGGGTATTCCAGCCGTCAACAAGCTCAGTCAATGAGTCGCCAGGGGGAGAAAGGTCCCGCAAGGCTTGACGGAATCTATCAGGGTCCATCAGCCTCCGCGGGCGAGCCCAAATCGGCTCACCACCTAAGCAGGGTGGGGGTGGAACGTCAATCCTGGCTTTCAGAGCGTAGTGATCAGACCATGGCACCTTCATCGAAGGAAACATGATCACATCTATACCGACGCCAAAGATCAGGTCCAGCGTGTGGCCTGCTTGATGTGTGGGGCCCGAAACAAACTGGGAGAGCCCTAGTGTCGCCATGGAAGACACCAGGTCCAGAGCCTGTGAGGAGGGAGTGGCATCGGCATGGATGTTGAAGTCCCCCAATACCAATAGGTTAGGGAACTCCAAGGCCCAGCCGGCCACCGCCTCCAGCAGGCCTGACAGGGTGGCTGCTGGTGCGCTAGGTGGCCGGTACACCAGCCAGACAGCCAAGCTCACCTCGGAGCCCCACACTAGGCCAACACATTCAATGCCGGGGATCGATGGTGGTGGTAGAGCCCTGAAAGAACAATCTTCCCGGATTAATAGTGCCACCCCTCCCCCCCGGCCCACAGTCCGTGACTGGTGGAGGACGGAAAAACCCGGGGGCGCCATCTGTCGTAAGGTAACAGTATCCCCTTCGCGCACCCAGGTCTCCGTCACACAAGCCAGGTCGACCCCCTGCGAGATGATGAAATCTCGCAGGGTGGCGGTTTTGTTGCCTATAGACCTGGCATTGCACAACACCAGTGACGGAGGTGAGTAATCCTTGCTCACCCTACCCTCGTCTCTCGGGATGGGGCGCAGATTGGAAGGGGTACGAGCATATCCGTATCTCGATCCCCTTCGCCTATGACATCTGCCCCCACCGCCATACCTCCCTCGCCCCTCCACAGTAGGAATCCCAGGCCTCATGCTCGCCTCCATTTACAAAATATAAAAGCAAACAAACAAACAAAGAAACAATTACCCCAAAACAAAACCAATCCCCACCCCACTCAACAACCATCCCAACACAAAATAAAACAAAACAAAATAAAGATACATGGATAAAAAACCACCGTTTCTGGTGATACAACAAAATAATAAGTAAAAACACTTTTAAAACACTTTAAAAAATATAAAACGTTTAAACATTAGCTGCCACAGCAGCAGTGTCCTTAGAGTTGTGACGGTGGTGAGTATGGGGCCCGCGCCCAGGCCCAAGGTGGAGAATGGGCTTGCAGGGGGAGCGGTCCTCCCCAAGACTCACTGGCAGAAGAACAGCAGCGATGTCCCGAGGCCTCCTTGGAGCCTTGTGTGGTGAGGTGGAGTATGGGGCCCGCCCCCAGGCCCAAGGTGGAGAATGGGCTTGCAGGGGGAGCGGTCCTCCCCAAGACTCACCGGCAAAGCGGCAGCAGCGATGTCCCGGGCCTCCTTGGAGCCTTATATGCCGAGGTGGAGTATGGGGCCCGCCCCCAGGCCCAAGGTGGAGAATGGGCTTGCAGGGGGAGCGGTCCTCCCCAAGACTCACCGGCAAAGCGGCAGCAGCGATGTCCCGGGCCTCCTTGGAGCCTTATATGCTGAGGTGGAGTATGGGGCCCGCCCCCAGGCCCAAGGTGGAGAATGGGCTTGCAGGGGGAGCGGTCCTCCCCAAGACTCACCGGCAAAGCGGCAGCAGCGATGTCCCGAGGCCTCCTTGGAGCCTTGTGTGCTGAGGTGGAGTATGGGGCCCGCCCCCAGGCCCAAGGTGGAGAATGGGCTTGCAGGGGGAGCGGTCCTCCCCAAGACTCACCGGCAAAGCGGCAGCAGCGATGTCCCGAGGCCTCCTTGGAGCCTTGTGTGCTGAGGTGGAGTATGGGGCCCGCCCCCAGGCCCAAGGTGGAGAATGGGCTTGCAGGGGGAGCGGTCCTCCCCAAGACTCACCGGCAAAGCGGCAGCAGCAGTTCAAATGGTTCATTTGAACCAGCCACAAATTATGGAACCAAGTTCCCTTCCTTTTACCGCATGGTCCCCAATGAAGACCTTCAGTATCAGGGAATTATCCAGTTACTTCTGCATTTCAGATGGAAATGGGTTGGGCTCATCACTACAGATAATGAAGCTGGGGAACGTTTCTTACAGACAATTGAGCCAATGCTTTTCAAGAATGGAATATGTTCAGCATTCACAGAAAGAGTGGAACTCAATATAATTTATAACAGTAACAACCTAGAAATGCTGCAGGACGCAAGGATTTGGTTACCAACTTTCACAACCAGCAGAGCCAACGCAGTTCTTGTATATGGAGAAAGTAGATTTATTATATGGTTGTCAGGTGCTTTAATCACAATGGAATTAACTCGGCTACTATTTCCTCAAAAGAATTCACGTGAAGGAAAAGTATGGATTACAACTACCCAAATTGATTTCATATTATATAGCCTTCAAAAATGGACAGTTAATATACGAATGTTCCATGGTGCTCTATCCTTTGCAATTCACTTCAAGGAGATACACAACTTTAAAGACTTTCTTCGGAGTATACGTCCTCATTGGGCAGAGAGAGATGGTTTTATCCAAGCTTTCTGGGAAGATGCATTCAGTTGTTCACTTCCAAATACCACTCTCTCACCAACCATGTGTACTGGAGAGGAGATGCTGGAGAGCCTTCCTGCACCATTTTTTGAAATGAGCATGACTGGCCACAGCTACAGTATCTATAATGCTGTCTATGCTTTGGCACATGCCTTAAATAGCATGCACTTGGCTGGAGCCATCCGCAACAGAAGAGGTGCTAAGGGAAAACTCTCTCCTCACTATGCAGATCCTTGGCAGGTATTGTTCTCTGTTACAAAGCATTCAATGCATTGGTACATTATGTGAGTTGGCATTTAATCATCAGTAAAGAAATAAAAGAATAAAACTTAAGAAATTAAAAAATAAACCTTTAGTAATTTTATCAAAGATGGGAATTGGAATATTTCCTATAATGCTATTAAACTTTAGATGACATAAGGAAAAAACTACACATAACTGAAGCTGTGCCAACCACCTTCTCCACACTGAAAACCCTCCCATTTTCTATCCACATCCCTCCACAATTCTCTCTGTCTCTCTTACCTGTCCAGTTACCCAGTGGTGTAAGGGTGGGGGCTTGGGGCCCATGGCCCTGGGAGCATTATTCTGAGGGAGAACAACCAGGACCCCAACCCCAGGCACTGGCATTTGCAGGGATCCTCACATCCACAAGAAAAGAGAAGAGCAGCCCATCAGGGAGCTGCCACTACCTGGACATGTCCTGGAAAGCCCCATCCCCAACTCCTCATCTTTCCCTGTCTGCCAATCACCAAGGTTTCTGGGGCCTGAAGCCTCACTGGTAGGTCCCCAGAAGAGGCTAGCAACTGTGTGATCACTGTCTCTAGACCCTGCTTTTCTCGCCCTTCCTCCTGTTCTGCCTCTAAGTCTGGATTTCAGTCTGGCACAGCCTCTTCCTGCTCCCTTAACCCTGCTGCCCCTTCTGCATTTGACACCTCTTCCTCCCAGTCGGCTCCCTCTTCTCCCACTGACCACTCCTTGTCATTCCACCACCAATCCCCTGGCTCTGAGCCTCCTTTCCTTGGGGCGTCTCTTTGTTTTGTTTTGTTTTTAATAATATTTTATTAGAGTTTCGAGTAATACAAAAGACAAAAAGACAAAAAAAAGTAACAAAAAAGAAAAAAATTCATCCTTTACAATCCCATTTTCAATAACTTTTTTCTGCGACTTCCCCTCACCTCCCCTACTTGTATTCCATGTCCAAATATTTATCCAACAAGTTATTACCCCTAGTTTTTTAACCTTAATTTGTTATTATATTTATTTATATTATATTTTTAACCTTAATTTGTTATTATATTTAGTTCAATTTATATATCCACTTTTAACTTTATACCTCAATCATTTATATTTGAAAACTTTTTCTAAGGTCAACCCTGTTTCCCTTCCACGAGTTCCCCATTCTTATACTAATAACAACACAAAATTAAAAACAGAATAGAAAAAATCAAACACCCTTTTGATTTCCATACCCCACCCTCCCTTCCCCGGTTTCGATCCCAGAACCATAGTCCATTAGTCCATCTATTATCAGCCTGGCAGCCTCACGTCCGAGGCCCTTAAATCTCTCTCAGTCCCTTTCTGCCGGTTTCTTTGAAAGTCCCTTATATTTAACACCAAGTCTCGGAGGGGCACTCTCTCTATAATGCCCATGTTCCTTCCAGCCAGACCTCCTTGTTTAAAGGTGAAGCTCAAATCTTGTTTCTTAATCCTTTTAAATCCAAATGTCCCAAGAGCTCCAGTTTCCACCTTAATCAAATTTATAGTCCATAGATCTTCAGATCCCCACAAAAGAAGATCTTTCCATTCCTCATTTCTAAGTTCAAACCAAGTTTTCCTCTTCCAATCCTTATTTTCTTTTATATCCATCTTGACAGGCCTCCGGCTCTCATTTGCCTTCTGCAGCATTGCAGCCCCTCCTTTCTGCTCCTCCTGTTCAGCGTATATCTCTTCCTCCTCTTCCTCAGTTTTCTCTAGTTTCTTTTCTTGTCCAGCTGCCTGGGTTTTGTACATCAAGTCCTTTTCCAACTCAGTAGATACATCTGCTGTTGACTTCAAATTTATGGCACTTGTAGACAAAACATGACCTTGCTCATACATCTTGCTCGTACCGAATCCAAAAAAAGGAAAATTTTTAATCCAATTTCCAAATTATTCACGTGGGTCGGGAGGGCGCAAACGGTGCCCGCTGAGTCACCAGGTCCACGGGCATCCGCACCCGTGGTTTTTGAGGGTCCCCGCATCGCCGGCACGGCAGAACCCGACCCCTGTCGAGCAGATTCCCTCTGGAGCTCGGAGGGAATCTGCCATTCGGCGATGGCGCCAACCCGGAAGTCCACCTTGGGGCGTCCCTTTGGGGTTCCCAAGCTGCTGCTTCCCCCCACTCCTCTGCATCCAACATCCAACCGTGCTCAAATCCACTCTATAAGATCCGGTCCGATGTTCTCTTGTTGCATTGCTCTCCTTTGTGAACATGAGCTCCCCTCTCTTCTCATACATGACTTCTCAAATTCCTACCCTTTCTTGGATTTTGACAAAGGCTGGTCTCAAGCAAGCAGGTCTATGGTCCCATCTCTCCATAATATCTTTATGCAAATCTGTTGAATGTTGAATTGGCACAGATTCATGATTTCCTACTCCTCTTGTATGTGCAACTAAAATATGGATGCTCTCCATTGTGAACTGAAGCGTTTAACTTCCATTCTCTTTCCACTTAGCTCCACTCATTCCTGCAGAGAATCTCATTCAACAACGGTGCTGGGGATGAAATTGCATTAAATGAATATGGAGAGTTAGCAGCTGGCTTGGATATTACCAACTTGGTCACTTTCCCAAATAATTCCTATGTCAGAGTCAAAGTGGGAAGTTTGGATCCTCAGGCCCCTCCGAGTAAAGAGCTCACCATTAATGAAGACAGAATAAAATGGAACAGACGCTTCACTAAGGTATGGAAATAATGGCACAGTCCCATAAAACCCAGAATTTGTGGTTATCCACAAAATGGGATGTAACAAAAGCACTTCATACATGATTCATTTTGAAATTCACTGGTACCTGAAACCACTTCAGACTAGTGATGAGTTAGAATAGAGGTGTGCTCCCAGACCTCTTGCTTCAAACGGAATGCAACTCCTCCTAGAACAGGTCAGGCATAGGAACCCAAAGCATTTCTCTCTGAGACAGGATGTGGCCTAACAGGAAACCACAAACCAAAAGTCATGGAATGATTTCCTATTGCTAGTTTCTTGTGAAATCACACTGAATTCTATCACAGCTGTAAGGTTGGATGATCCAGGCTTGAATATTGACATCTTCTTGAGTTTGTATAATGCTTAGAACAGCAGCTTTTTACCCCACTGTATGTGCCACTTGTGTACCTACGGATCATTTCATGCTATTAGTCCTCCTATTTACTATTAAATCACCTCATCGTGGATATTTGATTAATTCCCCAAAACAATATCATAATATTAAACTCTTCCTATCTCTTTGCATAGCTGCCACCGCTTTCTCTATGTAATGCCAACTGCCATCCTGGTTACGGGAAGAAAAAGAAGGAGGGGGAGAAGTTTTGCTGCTATGATTGTGATCCATGTCCAGAAGGAATGATTTCAAATGAGAAAGGTTAGAGATGACATCTTAAGATACTGCAGAACCTCTGGGCTCCTGAGAATTTTGTTGACATTAAACTGCTGCAGGAGAGAAGGCTTAAATTAACAGATGTGTTCTCATTGTTTATAGATAACATCAATATATTTTAATCTTTAAAACATCTTGACGATTTCTTTTTTAAGTGGAAGCTAATATATTTTACTTCCAACTTCTACAAAATTAGGGTGGAATAGAAGTGGTGTTTTCTCCTCTAAGAATTAGGTTGTTTGACAATGGGGTGAAAGTATTATCAAACTCACTTTTCTGAGATCCAAAAATTTCAGCTGAAATGCATTTCTCATTTTGTTGCACTGTTTATGTGGCTCTAAGAAAAAGCAGGGAGACAATAAAGAAAAAAAGATGTTACCCATGTAGAAATTTCAAGAATAGATACACATTTTATTTTTGATACACCTAGTACAAAAGCATTTGGGCTTGAAACTTGTATAAATTCTGATGTAGAAAACACTATGCTAAATGGACTAGGGATGAAGAAATTCTTAAGAATACTTTTGGTTGCTTCAAATTGTCTCAAACTGTTTGTGTATTTTCAGACACGGAAACATGTGTCAGTTGCCCAGCAGATCAGTATCCAAACAGCGGCCAGAATCTTTGCATTCCTAAGATTCCAAACTTCCTAGCCTTTGATGAAACCTTGGGCATTGTTTCAACTTCCTCTGTGCTTCTATTCTCTCTGATCACAATTTTGGTATTTGGCATCTTCATTAAGCATCGCAATACAGCCATAGTCAAAGCCAACAACAGAAGCCTCACCTATGGTCTCCTTATCTCCCTCCTCTTGTGTTTCCTCTCTTCTTTGTTGTTTATCGGAAAACCTAATGAGGTGACTTGCCTCCTCCGACAAATTGCTTTTGGCATTGTCTTCTCTGTGGCCCTCTCCAGCATCTTAGCCAAAACGATACTGGTGGTTTTGGCATTCATGGCTACCAAACCAGGATCCAATATGAGGAAATGGGTAGGCAAAGAACTGACTTATTCCATTGTCTTTTCCTGCTCCATTGTTCAAGTAGGGATCTGTGTCCTCTGGCTGGCAACCTCTCCCCCATTCCCAGATGTGGACATGCACTCAATGAGTGAAGAAATCATATTTCTATGTAATGAAGGGTCAGTCCTCATGTTCTATTGTGTTTTGGGCTACATGGGATTACTGGCCATTATCAGCTTCACAGTGGCCTTCCTAGCCAGGAAGTTGCCTGACACTTTCAACGAAGCCAAGTTCATCACCTTCAGCATGCTGGTCTTCTGCAGTGTTTGGCTCTCCTTCATTCCAACCTACCTGAGCACCAGAGGAAAATACATGGTGGCTGTGGAGATCTTCTCCATCTTTGCTTCTGGTGCTGGGTTACTGGTTTGCATTTTCATCCCTAAATGCTACATTATTGTGGTGAGGCCTGACCTGAATAACAAAGAGCAGCTAACACAAAGAAAGGTATAAATGACAGTGGAATTTGTGGTTCAGTTGGGTCTTAGAATACATGGACTTGCTGGCTGGTATCACTTTCCGAGTCCCTACTCCAGATATGTGTAAAGTTTTCTCCTTAACCTTTTTGTCTGCCAAAGATGTCCCAAAGGCAATGGGTACAGATTTTTCCTCAGGTTCTACTCCCTAAGCCTTTTTCACAAATGAGTAATGCTGTAAAGCAATGGAGGTTTAGGTTCAAAGATTCTTTCTCCTGGGTGGGCTCCCTTCCTAGGTTTATGAGACCCATCTGCCCCTCATTTCCCTCTTCAGCACCTTCAGTAGCCACCTTTTTAAGCATTGAGCCCACTTTTGCTCTCATCTGCTATATCCTGTCTTTGCATGCAGAGAAATTCCCTAACTCACTGAGGATTTGAGGCCCATTGGCTGCCCTCACCTGGTTTAGGCAGTCAGTTGAATCTGTATTGTGGGACATGGCTGCTGTTGCAACCTGACAACTTCTAAGAGCCACAGGTGAGAACTGAGTGCAGGCTGGTGATCAGAGGTATACAAACTGCACCAGAAGGAGCACGACTTCTTGCCTTCTAGAGTTACTACCCCTCCCTAACACTCTTTACATCCCTGTCATGTATTACTGTATAGTTAAAGCAAATGGAATCTTAATAGCAAAACTGTCAGCCTTTTAATTTAGAAATGGTTAAGTTCTGTTTATGAATGTTGTACATATATGAATGTTAATAAAAAGTCTCTTATCAATTACTTCATGAAATCTACAAATTCATCTTGAAGACAACACAGGGTACCAGAAACAAAAAACACTGTGAAGTAGTTGAGGGCTCTACATTCTTTATCTCTCACCCACAAGGCAGCTGAGGAATAGAAGAAAGAGAAGTTTAAAACAGCCATTTCCCTTGTTTTTAAAATAGTTTTAACAAGGAAAAGTAGCAGAGATATGCAACAATATCTGGTGGAAAACATATTGGATATTGCTAACACTAATAGGACAAACCTTTTTTTCTGAATTATACTTCTAGCCAGTTTGAAAGAGTGGTGGCAGAGAATATCTCAAGTAAGCCAAATGGCTTCACAAAATACAAATATATTCTTTCTGAAGTTGATTCTAAAATCTGTTTATTTTTTTATATAATATTTTTTATTAATTTTCAATTACTATCCAATAATAGCATGATTAAAACAATACCAAATTGTAATGCTAATACTAATCACTCAAATACCGAATCATATAATTTAGGTGCCCCCCCATCCTTGATGATTTCCTTTATTTCTGCATTCCGAAATCTTATTAATTTCTAATAATCCCTTATACAACAACTGCAATATTAATAACTTCTATTCCTGTTGACACATTAAATGATTCATAGAACTACAAATGAGGCACTCAAACTACATCCTTGTTCTTCCTGTGTGTGGCAATTATTCTTTCTGTTGTGTTTCTTCCAGTCCTTGTAAAATGTTGTGTCTATTGTTCTGGAAAAGTTGGTTCCACAAGTATTTCTTTTTACTTTTCTCTCCTGCCAGAAAATGGTTAAAGAGCGGCAGACTCTGATTCACTGTGGTTCAAGTAGGGAGAATTGAAAAGGAGTGGATTTCGAGAGCAATGGAGTCAGAGTGCGGTTAAGAGGGGGGTTGAGTTGAGGTAGTTGAGGAGGAAGGCTGTAGAGGTTGGGAGTTAGGTAGGGAGATAGCATAGGAGTGTTGAGGAGGGAGAGTTGGTTCTGGAATAAAACATCCACTCCGAGTCTACAGTGAAGGACTGAGTGTATTGTCCTGCAGGAGTGATAGGACCAAATCTTGCTGGGAGATTGGGTGTGAGACAGGAGAAGTAGGAACTGAAAGAGATGAGTCCACTTAGGTCTCAAACTAATCTGTAGGGGACAGACTCTTCTGAGGAAAGAAAGGACTCCCAAAACCCACTGAAGAAAGGGGGGTGAGCCCTTAAGACTATTACTGAAAGTACCTCAGGAGCTGCATTTGTTAAAGGGGTGGGTAAATGAAGGAAAGTACCACCTTAGTAAGGAACCAGACTATTAAGCCCAAACCTCTGAAAGCAAATTGAAGTGAACTAGCATATTATTATTATTATTGAAGTAATCTAAGTTTCTCCACTTATATTATACTACCTTGCTTTAAAAAATAAATCTTTATTGTTTATTTAAAGAATAAACAATAGGAGATTCCACCTTTTTCGTTATCCCCCTCACAAAGATCCCCCACAGAATATGCTGGGATAGTTAGGTTTTGTTTTTAAGCCTTCGGGTCAAAGGTTGTTGGTGTGATGGGAGCAATATATTAAAGTGAGACTCTAACTCCTTGGTTATCCTCTCACAAAGATCCCCCTGGGATAGTGAGGTTTTGTTTTTAAGCCTTCGGATCAAAGGTTGTTCAATGAGGTGGCGGAAATATATTTAAGTGAGAGCAGGCACATGGGCGTTAGCAGTAACTGAGGCGCCAAGCTTGGCGCATCCATCTTTTCCAAGTTGTTGCGGTTCTCCATCATGCCTTGTGTGCATCTGATATCCCATTGGTCTATTGATGCTATAATCCAGTGCCCCCACGTCTTGATAAGGCAAGGATTTTATCAAGAATTGCTGCCACCATTCAGTTAATATGATGGCAGATGATGTCTGATCAGTGTTACATAGGTGGGAGAGTGATGGATACCACAGTACTAACAAATTAGGAAGCGGGGAAAGGATGGGGCCAGCTCAACTCTAGATATCCTGTTGACCTTGTAGGTTCATTCCTTGCCTATGATTTTGTGATGTTACAAATATAATTACATTGGCAGATCCATCTTCCTGTCTACCAGCTGCAGTAATAGATTGTTTAGGATTAGCTAGTGGGAGTCTGGATTCAGAGCATTCCTCCTAGGCAGGGGGGGGGGGAAAGGTGAACACTGCTTTTTTACTGGAAGCCAAATCACAGGACAAAGCGATGCAGTGACTTTTGGAAACTGTGGGATAACCGCTTCTCTCAGGGCATGATGGGAAATATCAACAGTTGCAGGATTGAAGGATACAGCACCATATATGGACAGGAAAACATCATGGGGGGAACTTGTCACACGCAGGAAAGAATAAGGATTACACTTAGAGTTCCTCACTTGAAACTTTATAAATTATCTAATATACCAACACAAACAGAAATCACAAGACTGCAGCTGTTATATAAGAGATTATTATATGCGCATGGAATGCAATGGAAATTCTTAACATAGTGAAACACATAAATAATCAAGAAGAATGAAGCCATCAAATCTAGCACGCAAGGGGATACGTTTAAATTAATCATATCATTTGACATTTGAATAATTGGCATTCATAATTGCACTAATTAGATAAAATTGGTATTGTTATGATGTGGTCGCTTTTGGAACAATATTAGTAAATCAATAAAAATATATATTTAAAAAATAATAATAGTAATATTTTGGCAGTTCCCCTACTGCTGATGCGCCATAGAATCCAAAAGCACAGCGCAAGAGATTCTCTCCCCTATCATTACTAAAATTACAATAATCAATCTACCTGACTGAACCTCTAGATGTCACAGTGGAAAACAAGAATCAACAAGCAAGCCTGAAATGATTATAAGCTCCTCTGTGCTCCATAGACAACTAGGCAGGGCTCTGTAACTTATCCGTTATCAGTTATCAGTTTCCCTCTTTCATATCAAAGCACTGCATCTTATTTGGCATCCAAGGCATTCTGTTGTGACAATGTTCAAACTAACAATAAGGTGGATACATATCCGTTAAAGTGCCAAATTGACTGAATCAACTGCCACCCAATTTGTCTTGTTCAGATCAGGTGGAGGAGAGGAATAATACTGTTGAGAGAAGCAGGGGAGTCCATGCCCACAAGGGTATTTGCCATCAGGATGTTGCTCCTGCTGCTTCTGCTGCTTCCCAATATAGTGTCACAAGGACAAAGTGCTCAATGCGCAACAAATAATCCTGTTCATGTTCCACACGAGTGGTATGAGCCAGGTGACCTGGTCATTGGTGCAATGGCATCTCATATTTATTACATAGTCCCCAAATTATCCTTCAAGAGACACCCTTCCCAGGACTTCATTGACGCCCCAATGTAAGTAACCGTTAATTAATATTATTATAATTATTCCTTATATCTGACTGAAAATAACTTTGATTGATTTGAAGGGGGGATTGCTTTAGAACTTTATTTTTTAAATGTGTGGAAAGATTTTATTAGAAATCTCTGTGCATATAGACTATGCGCATATTGTCAATCAACAATAAGCTTTTTTGAGTCTAATTGTGTAAAGAGAGATAGGGAAGAGAGTAGGAGAAAGAGAAAAGAGATGGCATAAAAAATAGGGAAAGCATATAGCAAAGTAGTATGGTACTGAACTTTTTTGATGATACCCAAATTTTCAAGGTGGCAAAAACAAACACAGGTTGCTGAAGATATAAAGAAATATGCAACAGCTTTTAAAATCACACAGTATTCTTAGATTGCCCAAATAAGTAAATAAACTTTGCTGGCTTTATCCTCTATATGCAGGCAGGTGTATCTCTCCTATCTAGATTCTGTGCACTGTTTAATTTTCCCGTCAAACAAAATCTCACTTCATTTGCAGGGTGGTGACAAAGTTCTACCAGCAAATCCTGGCCTTGGTCTTTGCTGTTGATGAGATCAACGAGAATCCCAGGATGTTGCCCAATGTCTCTCTCGGCTTCCACATCTATGATAGCTATTATGATTCAAAGATGACCTACCGAAACACTCTGGACCTGCTCTTTAAATCACATCACTTTGTTCCCAACTACAGGTGTGGCATCCAGAAAAATGTCATAGGAGTCATTGGAGGACTCAGCTCTGATACCTCCTGGTGCATGGCAAACATCTTAGGTCTTTTCAAGATTCCACAGGTAGAATATGGATTTGAAAAACAGAGATGTCATGCTTTTCTTGCATTAGGAATCTACTGATTCATACATATGGAGTGGGAAAATAGACAAAGTAAAAGGGCCATAATATGCATAACCAACAATGTGTGTAAGAAGGGCAATTTGTGTTTAATAGATGTAATAGAAGATTTCTTTAAAGCTGTGAGGTTTGTAAAGGAGGCACCTAGACTGGTTCATATACATCAATCCTGAATGCACTGCACTGGCTGCCTGTGAGCTACTGAATATATGATATTTACATTGGCTTCATAGGCAAAAATAACTGAGAACATGTTAACTAAAAATGTTCCTTCCCTTAAAAATCAGGACAGTCCTTTCCCAGAGTATGGTGTTAATCAACATTGTTCACTTTCAGAGGCTAGTTGAAAAAGTGTTTTATTGCATTGTTCTGGCATTTGTCATCTGTCACTTCAGAGCCTTATATAGTGGTGTCACTATATTTATTAATAATAAATATATAATATTTATTAAATAAATAAATAATATTTTTTAAATTTTCCACTTTAACAATCCTATCCAATCATATTAAATATTTCAAAATATACATATTATTCAACAATCAAACAGTCCAAATATTATGCCAAAGTATAAAAAAAAATTGAGGTATCTTCCCATGTTCTGAGGTCGAGGTGGTTCTGATCATCTCATACTTCTGCTGCTTTCATAATTTTCATGATAGTTCCCATAAATTATTCTGATGTTAATCCTCATTACATTTCACAGCCTCTGAACAAGCGAGATAAAACAAAACAATATATTCTGTGTGGAATTTACATTCTCTCTGTATGTTCACGATGTCTCTTCACAAAATGATGTTTCCTCCAAGCTAGTCCAAAAATCTTCTCATCTCGGGCAGCAGCCAAGTCAGTCCAGATAAAATCAAAGCAAGGCATCTGCCCAATGCTTTTAAGACCAGCTGTCCTTCAAATGGTTAACCTGTCCAGGGAAGGTTTTGCCATATAAAACTGGGAATGCAAATATTAAGTAAGATATTAAAAGGCACCTATCCCCCTAAGGCTCCGCATTTAATTTTGCAAGCTGATCTACTTTCGGTCATGGCCGCTCAGTTAATTGGCGCTGCATCATTCCGATTCTAATTCTAGGCAAACTTCCTAAATTTTTTTGGCGTCTCTCTAGTTATTCTCCAAATCAAAGTTGGGAAAGTGTTTATCGCCTTCCAAATATATCTGCAGCCGAATACTTAGAACTTGGTTTTCCACTTTTGAATAATTGTTATTTCCACACAGTTAATGACTAGTAGAATCATATTATATCACCAAATACACCACCTCTCCAGTCTCGCTTGCTATATATATATATATATATATATATATATATTTCAAATAATATTTATTAAAGTTTCCAAAGGTACACAAACCAAAACAGAAAACCAAAGAAAAACACACACACACAAAAAAAATTCCACCCTTAAGATCTCATTTACAGTAACTTCTTTTCGCGACTTCCCCTCACCTCCCCTTCTTGTATTCCAAATCCAATTATTTGTTCAACAAGTTTTTATCCCTAATGCCTTAACCTTATTTAATAATATATTTCTTTATAGTAAATTTTAATCCTTAATTCATTATTCATATTCAGTTCAATTTATAAAACAACTTTTAGATTATATACCTTAATCATATATAACAAAAAAAGAAGAAGAAAAAGCTTTTTCTAAGGTTGACCCTGTTTCCCTTCCACGAATTTCCCATTCTTATAATGATAAACGACATAAAATTTTAACACAGCATAAAAAAAGATCAGGCCCCCTTTGGACTTCCAAACCCCACCCCTCTCTCCCCGGTTTCAGTCCCAAGCCATAGTCCATTAGTCCACCTTTTTAGCCTGGTGACCTTACGTCCGAGGCTCTCAAATCTCTCTCAGTCCCTTTCAGCCGGCTTCTTTGAACGTCCCTTATGTTTGACACCCAAGCTCGAAGAGGTACTTTCTCACTAATGTCCATAATCCTTCCAGCAAGGCCTACTTGTTTAAAGGTGGAACTCAAGCTCTGTTTCTTAAATCCATGTGTCCCAAAGATTCCAACTTCCGCCTTGGTCGAGCTTGAAGTCATCTTGACAAGCTTCCGGCTCTCGTTTACTTTCTGTAACATTTCGGCCACCTCTCCTTTCTGCTCCTCCTGTTCAACAAGTATCTTTTCCTCCTCTTCAGTCTTTGGTTTTTTTTCCTGTCCAGCTGCTTGTGTTTTGAAAATCAAGTCCTTTTCCAGCTCAGAGGGTATATTTTCTGTTAACTTCGGTTTTGTATGACTTGTAGACAAAACATGGCCTTGCTCATACATCTTTCGCAGCTTTCCCATGAGAAAGACAAGCTCTTTCAGATCTGCCCGAATTTCCCAACCTATTTCCATTCTTGTAATAACCGTGAATCCCCTCTAGAGGGATTCTGGTTACTTAGTATTCCTTTCACTTCCGATCCCAAAGTCAAATTTATTTTTATCAATCTTTGTTTACTTTCAATACTTTGTAACGATATAACCGGCCAAAGCCAAAGCTTTCAGTTTTTTCCTACCTTGACAGCTAATTTGACAGCTGTCAAAGTCTTCTGTAATCCCTCAGCAGGCTCTTTTTGCGGGTTACTCCCGGTCTCGAGAAGAGTGGCACTTAATCTCAACAAATAAACTCTTGTCCTCCAGCACACTAACTTAGACTTTTAAATCCGTGGAATTAATAACTTTTATCCAATCAGGGAAAAAAAGACAGCTCCTCTCGCAACCTTAGTTGGCAAGTCCTTGCTTTAAACTGTTTACAATGGGGGGAGATGGACTTCCTCTTTGCACCTCCCCCGCTCGTGCCAAATCCACAAAGAAAATAATTTTAGTCCAATTTCCAAATTACTCACGGGTTGTTGTTCTTGATTTTAAGTCCAAATTTTAAGAAGGAAGAAGTCAGCACTCTCCGACCAATGGCATGCGGCTTCGCTCGGCAGGGGAAGCAGACGACTCACAGCACCACGCCGCTCCCCGTCACCCGTTCCGTAGCCTTTAAAAAGGCTCCTTTGCGGGTCGGGAGGGCGCTAACGGTGCCCGCCGAGTCTCCATGTCCACGGGCATCCGCGCCCGTGGTTTTTAAGGGTCGCCGCGTCGCCAGCACGGCAAGACCCGGCCCCTGTCGAGCAGATTCCCTCCGGAGCTCGGAGGGAATCCGCCATTAGCCGATCGCGCTAACCCGGAAGTCTTGCTTGCTATATATAATCAGGCAGGTTTTTTTTCAGAGGAGGATTTTGCCATATAACATAGCAAAATGAAATATAATAACAAAGGAGGCTCAACCCCACACACACACAGACTTTCAGTTCCAACATACAAATGTCATGCATCAGGTTATGGGACCCAATGTTTTATGGATGGCGAATTGCTAAAGCTGGAAAATCAGGGTGCTGTTGGTGAGGACCTCGAAGAGACTGAAGGTCCAGTAGTGAGGCTGCTTACCGAAGAAGCAGACCTGGTGCAGCAAGGAGCAGAAGTCACGTCAGCTCAGCAATCTGTGCAGTTTATTAATCTTGGCGATACTGCCCAGATGGAACGTCTGGATGGTATGAACTACCTGACTTGGGGTCTTAAGCTTGAACTGGTTCTAAAACGTGATAGACTTTGGCACTGTGTGGAAACTGGTTTGAATCCACAACCCTCTGAGCAGGAACGTGAAGAAGATGATAGAGCCAGAGCGCACATTTTGTTGGCTCTAGAGAAACCACAGGTCCTGCACATTGCACATTTGGACTCTGCCAAAGACTATTGGGATTGTCTACGTCAGATACACCTGTCTGACAGTGCTTGTTCAATAATTGGATTAACTAGGAGACTGTATAGAACTGTGCTACATGAAGGTGGATGTTTAACTACACACCTCCAGACTTTGCGCATGCTATTCCTCCAGTTGCAAAGGAGAGGTAAAAGATTTCCAGACCTGGGCCAATTCTATATCCTGTTATCCAGTCTCCCACCAATATTGTGATAACCTCTCTTGAAAGCATGAGGCAAGAAGATTTATTGATGGCGTATGTAACAACCCGTCTACAGGAGGAATCTGAAAAGTGCGTGGAAAAGCTGAGTGAGAAGGCAGACCAGAGGAGTTTGAGTCACCCTGCTAACCAGAAACCCAGATTTTCAGGAGGCGATGGGACCGAAGATCACTCCACAGATTGTGCCATGTTAGCAAAGAAATGCTATTGGTGTGGCAAGCTCAGGCACATGAAAAACCCAGGAAAAGCGAGTGATCCACATGAGACAGAAAGGTGGACGCATTTCGTCTTGGCCACCGCAAGAAAAGAAAAGAAAATTTCTCCAGACAGCTACATTTTGGACTCTGCCTCTGCCAGAATCATAATGAACAGCCCTGACTGCTTTACAACACTCAGCAAATTGCCAAAAGGCAAGGACAGCATTTGTCTTGCCCAATATCAGGTATAGGTATGTGTTATTTGCCATGCCTAGATGCAGAATTGAGGAATGTATTGTTTGTTGAAGAACTAGAATTTTCTTTATTGTCAATTTCATGCCTTATCAATGTTGGTTTTGAATTTATTTTTGAGCGTGATGAATGTTTTATTAAGAAACAGGGCAAGGTAATTGCTTCTTCAAAAATGGTGGATGGCTTGTACCCTTTACAGCATTCTCCGCCAAGTGATGGGGTAACAGAGGGACCTAAAGCTGGAAAAAATGATGTGTTAATAACTGAACTATGTCAGCGAAACTCTAATTGCCCTCATAAAAACTGCATCCATGCTTTGCACAGAAAAATGGGGCAAGCAAATTTCAAATATCTAGAGAACATGCAAAAAATATGTAAAGATTTAAATGTTAACCAGTGTAGCACATAACTTGATTGTGCTATTTGCAAGCAAGCAAAATCAAAGTTGCAGCCAATACCAGGTAGAAGTGATAGAATTTCTACACATGCTTTGCAACTTGTTCATTCTCACTTACTGTATTTTTTGCTCTATAAGACTCACTTTTCCCTCCTAAAAAGTAAGGGGAAATGTGTGTGCGTCTTATGGAGCAA